GAGAGACAGAAGTGCAAGTGCCTCTGTCTCTGTCTGTCTGTCTGTCTCTCTCTCTCTCTCTCTCTCTCTCTCTCATGGGACTTGCCGGAGGGCCGTGGGAGGGCCGCATTTACATAGAGCAGGGAGGGCTGTTCGAGGGCCGGATTAAACCGGGCCGCGGGCCGCAAATGGCCCCCGGGCCGGACTTTGGACATGCCTGGTTTAAAGGCTGCAGTGATCTTATCTGTCTGGTGAAAGCAACAAGATTTGTTTATTTAGCATTTGGGTAAATGTTTCATCTAGCAAGGAAAATTGGGATTTTGCTCTGATATTAGACTATTTGATTCTTAACACTAAATTTTTGGATGGATTTTTTTTTATTATTATTCTACAATCTTCCTTCCTTTCTTCCTTCCTTCTTCCTTCCCTCCCTCCCTCCCTCCCTCCCTTTCCCTCATTGCCTGGGCATCCAGAAACACAACCTGTCCCACCACAGGGATGAGTACTCTTTGGAAAGGAGACTTTCAACCAAAAGCTGGGGCTGACTTTATGCGCAGTTAAGTTCACAGTTCCTTATGCAATTCATGATAGGAAATTCCAACACTAATGGGCTCACACTCTCATTATGTATGAACCCTTTTAAACATACTTGTAACGATACAAAGCTATAGACACACCGCATTACCTGGTGCACATGTGCATGAGCAGCTAGCTGTCTGGTTGACTCAGATTTCACAATTAAAATTGCAATTTGTACACATGGAAAGTTTTAAGAAACTTTGTCTTGTATTTCCAGTGGTCCCTGGAGGCATATTCTAATCTTTGCATTTTGTGAACTGTCCTGTTTTGACTTGTCATCCTCCTTGCACCCAGTGGTTTGTGAAGGGCAGGGGTGCTCATGCAGTGTGCATTCCACAATCTCAGATAATCTTCTATGCCACTTGATATTATGAGCACTCTGCTCCATCAAGCATGTCTGAGGCCCGATCCTGCTGGGATGTAGTGTTGTTCATTTGAACTTTAGATGCTCAGGTTCATGGCTTAGTTTTATTAAACCCAGCAAGAGACATCCTTCTTTAGGTTCCTGTTGCGACAGTTCCACCTCTTTCTCTCTGGATTGCCATCTTTTTCTTATATGATCCTACCACAAATCCACATTCCAGGAAGAATTATCTGAATTACTGTATTTTATTGACTCAAGAGAGGTGAATTTATAGAGTCTCCCTGTGGAACTGTGGCTTGTCCTGGTAGAGTTGCTTGAAAAAACAGAAATCCGCCTGAGTTATAGTCTTCTTTGCCAACAGACTATGTGCTGATGTGTGCCATTAAAAACCCAGGACAAGAGTTCTACCAACAGATCAGCAGCAGCAATAGTAATCAGCATCCATCTGTCAATCGCAACACAGCCAGAATGACTTGGCATCCTTATTGGAAGAGACATCTCTTTGGAACAGAATGGAATGGCCAGAGCAAGGCAATTTGGTGCAAGGGTCAATGTCCATTATGTTATCATGAGACAGGTTTGGTGACAATATCAAAGGTTTCTTAAGGAGAACTCTGCCAATTCAGAGATGCTTGTAGAAACTGTGGTTCCTTCACTGCAGAAGCAAATGTCACTCTTGGATGACCTTTCTGATTTAGGGTGGAAGACCATGTCAAGCATGCAGTTTCCTTGTGAAATATAATCACTTTATGAATTTATTTACAAAACATTGTTTCGCATTGCGTTTAAGTCCTGAGAAGATCATCAGGCAAAAATTAGCTAGAGCGCATATAAAAAAGTAGAACAAAGCCAATCAAATACTTATGCAGCAGGCAAGATTTTAAAAGCACTAAAGACAACTTAACTCTCTTTTTGAAAAAGAGTCTGCATTAGGCGTGGGCTCCATAGCCAGGTGCTGCCACTGATAAAACCTTGCAATGCATCTCTACCATTTGCCCTCTCTTGGCAGCAGAATAACTAGACTTGACAAGTACGTGCAAGTGCAAGGATAACAAAGTGCTCTGGTCTCAAATCATTTTAGACTTTAAAGATAATAATCAGCAGTTTGTATTAGACCAGAAACAGTCAGAAGTCAGTGCAGTTTAAACAAGGACAGGGCAATATTTTCAGAAAAGCAGATCCAAGAATTTTTTGAAAAGAGCTATACCTCCCAATTGCAAAATAAACATCTCGTGTTACATTTAATTACTATTACCTGTAATTGCCATTAACTGTTATGCATTAATGTGTTAATTTATTTGTAGACATTATCTATTTAAAGATGTTTACTAGGACATATTCCAAGGAATATATTGGGCTCAGATCTTCTCCTTGTGCCCCAGTCTTGCAGTTAGCATTTTATCTCGTATCTATTCTAGCCATATCTAGTCACCATGCGGCTTGCCATAGTTGTTTTACTAACTGCATTTTGCAACTATCTCAGGTATTGGCTTAGAATAGACGTAACTAATGCCTTCCTGCTGGATGGATGCTTACGGAAGCAGATGTTCATTCCAGCTTCCTCTCCTCTGGAAACAGTGAGGGAGAAATCCGCCTAAATCTGGGGAAAGAGCATGCAAGCAGCAGGAGGCACCTAATCAATAACTCCCAATCTCCCATGGATGATCAATCCTTTTCCAGAGCTGAGTCTATAGCCCCATCAATCAGCTAGTGCACCCATTCCCAGCTGACATAAAGGTTTGTGATGAGACGAGAGAAGCTGTCGTTTCAGGGTTGGGATATGAAATTAGACAATGGAGTAGATCCCTGAAATGACATCTGGAATCTACCTGTGGCCAATGTTCCTTTCAAAAAAAAAAATCAAAACAAAAGACAATTTTGCTGTGTATCCTGCGCTTCATGCTTATAATTAGTCTCTGCCCTCCCTCCAGCTGTCTACCTGCACTCTCCGTGGCACAAGGCTACAGGAGCCGCATTTTGATTATTACAACTATTCTCCAGCTGATCAGGACACGAGTGACTCTGAGCTGCCACATGTCATTGAAATCTATGACTTCCCACCAGAATTCCGCACTGAGGATCTACTGGGTGTCTTCTGCCATTACCAGTAAGCAGTTTGGTTCTGTTTCTCACTTGTGTTTTCCAGTGTCGTCTATCCTCTGAGCTGAAGTGGCTAAGATGTAGCACGTTAGAACTGCACCTTTTCAGTGACTTGTTTATTTAAGAGTCACTGACCAGCTGCTTGCTTTTATTGCAGCCACCCTTGCCTCAGGGCCATTATTATCAGCTTTTTCTAATGATGCTCAAGTTTGATGTGTTATTGCCACCCATCAAGGAAATAGTGTATTGTTCCCGTTCTTTAAATATTCTTCCTGTCCTGCAGTGAGAAATTCAAGTGAACACACATCTATTTCCTAACTATATATTTTCTTTGAAGCTGCATGTAGTTTGATGGGTTTTGTTGTTGTTGTTGTTGTTGTTGTTGTTGTTGTTGTTATTAGATCACTGCCAATTTTCCAACTTTTCTTCTTTCATCAGGAAAAAAGGCTTTGACATTAAATGGATAGATGACACACATGCTCTGGGTATCTTCTCCAGTCCTATCACAGGTATGACCTGCTTCTGAAGACCAGACCTGCTGGGTGTGGTGTCCTTGGATGGAAGATGCTAGATGACAGCATTTGTTGGGTGGGGAGACTCAGGGCTCCTGTTCTCTCTTTCCCATTTCTCATCTGACATTGCCTTTATTCACCATAGCACGAGACGCTCTCAATACCAAACATCTGATGGTGAAAACCCGCCCCCTGTCACAAGCTACACAAGCTGCAAGGACCAAAGCCAGAGCTTATGCAGGTGAGTCCAGAAAAATTCAAAGAACCTCCCAGATTAACATTTTCTAACTGCTGAGTCATGCCTGTAATATATATTGTCTTGCTATCGGTATTAACGGAGACCATCTGATTTTATACAGAGACAGAAGAGAAGCTTCAACTGTCCTATCCACCTTTGCTCTGCACATGTCGTAGATTGATTAGTTCTGGTCCTTAGTGCTGATAAAAATGCCTCCTGATCAAGAAAACTGTTCCATTGGAAATATCCATCATTCCCTCTTAAATTTAGCCTTTAGAATCCCGTGCACGCTTCTCCAGTGAAAGAGCTACACTAACATCTGTTGGTGGTGTCCTCTTAGCATTGAACAGTGCTTTTTGCAACATTAACAAGGATCAATCCTATAAAAGGCTGGGTCATCCCCTCTCGAGTTGCTGTAGGCTGAACTAATTCCCAAGACTCTTTTCAGGCAAATATGATGTGCTGCTCCATGACGTCAGTAGTAAGCACAGCAAATATTTTTTTAGTTTTCCAATCCTGGGTTGTCCAACATCTGTAAGACTGAAAAGGGAGTAGCACAATGTTAACACTGCCATATCTCATGGTCTGTTTTCAACATTGTATTATGGGGATAGAATTAATAGATCTGGAGAAACAGCATCTGTAAAGCTCTGAAAGCACTTGTATATTTGGCCAGTGCTTTCTTAAGTTCATTGCAAATTGTCCTCTTTATTATTCTTTTTTCTCCTAGTTTCATGGGAAAGTCCATTAAAGTTGCTACCAATCTGTCACTCTGTCTTGTTATATTTGAAATAGAAAGGAATGCCTATGTCAGTGATGGCGAACCTTTTAGAGACCGAGTGCCCAAACTGCAACCCAAAACCCACTTATGCATCGTCGGGTGCTGGGTGGGCGTGGCCCATTGGCTGGGCGTGGCTGCGGTGGTAACTGCAGACTGGGTGGGACTAAAAAGTTCAATCAATCAATTCCAACTTTGCAAGATCTTTTTTTGTCCGCGAGAAGTTGAAATTGACTGATTGATTGAACCTTTTTTTTTTTTTTTTTGCACATGGCAGCGGAGGCCTAAAGCAAAAAGGTTTTATAAAACCCAGCTGAAGGTCTAGGACTGGGGCGATGGTACGCGTGCCCACAGAGAGGGCTCTGACTGCCGCCTCTGGCACCCGTGCGATAGGTTCGCCACCACTGGCCTACGTTTTGGGGAAGAGAGCCATCTTTTAATATTTAAATATGCTTGTCTGCTTTTCCGTCCTCTTAGAATTCCTGCAACCCGCCAAAGAGCGTCCTGAGACCTCAGCTGCTCTGGCCAGGAGACTGGTGACAGGTGCCCTCGGTGTGCGAAGCAAGCAGAGCAAGGCCGAACGTGAAGCTGAACGCAAGCAGTTACAAGCAGCTCGAGGTAAGCTTGAAGGAGCAGAGATACTGTGGTGTTGGAGAGGGGTGTGTGTGTGTGTGTGTGTGTGTGTGTGTGTGTGTGTGTGTGTGTGTGTGTGTGTGTGTGTAAAAGAAGTTGGAAGATACAGGAATGGATATTTTACTTCTACCGGTAGGAGTACCAAATGTCTAAGATGGGAAAAATGCAGGCTGCAGTATCATAGATAGAAATGAGAGAAATTATATTATTTCTCTGTGTCTTGGTTTCAAGCTACCTTGCTACCCATCTCATTTACTATCCGCATTCAGGAAGTCTATCTGGTCTATGTGTCTGCTTCAGTGCAGTAAGCCAAAACATCTTTGCTATCACTCTGCCAGATCTACCTGAGTACCTTAGGGAACTTCTGAATGGCCAGTGATTTCCTTGTCTCAGGTTCATCAGAAAAACTGACTGTGCTCTCCTGAAATATGCAGGGATATACAAGAAAGAATCAAGTGCGCTTAACTCTTCAGCATCCCACTCTCTGCCCATCCTTTATGTGCACCAACCAGAGAGCAGTGATAAAGCTATTGGTCTGGCTGGGGGAAGGAGAGTTTTCCATCCTAGATGGAAAACTAATGAAATCAACGAAGTCTTTGCAGATTCTTACTGTACCCTTCTCTGGTAGAAATGGAAAGAAGACAGTTTCTGCAGAATAGCTTGTGGATATTTGGAAATGAATTCCCCCACCCTGCAATGGTGTAATCCCTTGAGTAAAGGGTTAGTTTACTCTTTAGTTGATGCCCGTGTCTATGGTACAGTCTTCTATTTATGATGGGTGTCTGGACGCATGTGATCTTCGGAGGATTCTACCTAGCTTATCTCCAACTCCTCATCCTCCTGGATGGCCCAAATTGAAATTGAACCCACATGTTTGACAATGCAGCTTTTTGCCCCTAGGGATGTAAAAAGGACAATCGTGTTGAATGACTAGAACAGGGCTTTTCAACCTTTTCACCCATTGTACCACTTTTAGGATATGTAAATATCCGAGTACCACCAGTCGCCTAGCAAGGGTCAAAAACTTGATGATCAAACAAAAAGAAAAAAGTGATAAAAGTACAGGTAGTCCTCGACTTACAACAGTTCGCTTAGTGACTGTTCGAAGTTACAGTGGCACTGAAAAAAGTGCCTCCCAAGCCACAACTGAGCAAGACACCTGCCTGCCCGCCCAGTGGCGCTCTTCCTCCTGTCCGAGGTTTTCAGACCCTGGAGATGCTGCAACATTCCAGCTGATCGGCACTTCTGGGCTCAGCAGAAGCGCCAGGATCAGTGCTGCTTTCCAGCTGATCAGCGCTTCTTCTGGGCTCAGCAGAAGCACCAGGATCAGCACTGAGTTCCAGCTGGAGCCTGGCGCTGATCCTGGCACTTCCGCTGAGCCAACAGCCTTGCAGCTCCAGCCATCTCTCGCTCAGGCTTGTGCGGTGCTGCCACCGGTTCAGCTCATTCCCCTCCCCCGCTACCACTTTTCTAGGATGGTCGTGTACCACCTGCCAGGTGCCAACGTACCACAGGTGGTACCCGTACCACTGGTTGAAAAGCCCTGGACTAGAAAATATAGCATAATAAATATATTAGTTATAAAAGCTATCAGAAGTGTATTTCCTCTCGCGAAATGGTAAATCTTCTGAACAACCTCTGTTCCATCTCATAATCATGTAACTAAAAATTCACCCTGTACATTTGTTTTCAATTTAATCAGAATTTCTGAGTTTTGGGAAGAAATGTATTATTTATTTTATTTATCTGTTAGATTTCTGCCCAGCTTTTCCATAGTAGCTCAAAGTGGCTTTCATGGATAAATCTTTTTATTTTTATTTTTTATTTTTAAAATCCTGTGAGATAGATCGGGCTGAGAATTGAATATGACTGGGTGACCTGAATCCGGGTCTTTGCAGTCCCTAGACCAGGGGTAGTCAACCTTGGCTCTTTTATGACTCGTGGACTTCAACTCCCAGAATTCCTGAGCCAGCTAAGCTGGCTCAGGAATTCTGGGAATTGAAGTCCACGAGTCATAAAAGAGCCAAGGTTGACTATCCCTGCCCTAGACAGAACCCCTGAGAAGTTTTTTGCCAGAGCTGGTGGATATGAAAGGCAGAGCTGAATCTTGTCCAGATGGATCAGAAATGATAAAAAAATGAGGACAAAAACATTAAATATAGAAGCTATGGACTCCCTCTTGAAAAAGAAAGGGTAGAAGTTAGTTTTACAGGCCCCATGATCTTTTATGAAAGTGCTATACTTCAAGCTCACATTTATCATTCAGGCAGCATTGAAAATCAGATGAGAAATGCAGGTCATTTACAATGCAAATATTATATTTGTAGTATTTTTCTTTAACAAACACCCTTTGCACCTCAGGAATATGCTGATAGCTTTTTGTCAGTTCAAATGATAAATCTCCAGGTGGTTCCATTTTCTAACATTGCCTCTTCTCTCTAATAATTCTGGTAAACTCAAGTCCTCTATCTTTTCCTTTCCCTACAGCCCCTCCCCCCCCCCCCCCCCCCCCATTTTTCTATGGCATATCCTTAAGCAGATATTTTGTAGAGTATCTGTTGACCTTCTTCAATTGTTCTTTTGAAACTGGAGCATAAGTATTGATTATTCCAGTTTTTTAGACATTCTTATTGTAATTAACTGTTAAAGATTGCTTTTTCCTACTGGTTTGGCTTTTTGAATAGGACATGTGTCCAATAATCACTGTCATTTTTTTCCATCAATAATATTGGGATCAGATATTCTATAAGCTCAGTGCAAAAGACATTTTTTTTGGGGGGGGGGAGCATCAACATTAAGTATGTGATGTCTAGGTTTATGTAGCCTTGTTAATTGAATGTCTTTATTGTCCTTACTAAGATCTCTATTCTTGCCTCTTCGAATCCATGCAAGATCTAAGAATCGTTATTTTCCTGTCCTTTTTCTTGAAGGGGATTGGAAGAGAGCAAGGACTCCCAGGAGCAGCCAGAGCAGTTTATAGCTCTAATTAAATGCCTTGAGGGAAGAAAGCTGTGGTATATCCAGTCCCTCAAGGAAAGAGATATATGGGAAATGTGATTGTGTCAGGTCTTCAGTGTTCAGCTAAGGACACTAGGTGGTGCTCCAGTTCTGTTTACTGTACTGAACAATAGTGCCACTCCAGAATTCAAAACCCTGAGGCAGGCTGAGCTTCAAAAATGTAAGAGGACGACGTGCATAAGAATAGCTAATTTATTTTAATTGTAGCTGCCAACTCAGTAATTTGCTACTCTTCTCTGCTGAGTAGGCTTTTAAGTGGATTACAAGCAAATTCTCTAGGCTGCTGTCAGGTGAAATGCAGTTCCATAATACGTTGCATGGATCTGTAGGAAGGGATGGGATTCAGGGGAATTGAGTAAAGACTTCCAGTGGGCAATGATGTGAGCGTGTCCACAGTTTGCTGAGGTAGGTCTTGATCTCTGCACCAACTAAGCAGAGACAACAGCCTTCTATGTCACGAGGGAGATCAAGAGAGAATGCAGGCACACCAAGGCTGCACTTAAGGGTTACCAAAGCCCTGGAAGTTGCTTCTCTGATCAGCTCTATATCGTATGACCGCTACTTCCCTTAACCACATTATTCTCTTGCAGAGCGGAAGCTCTTGGAGGCCAAGCAAAAGGAAGATGCCTGGGAAGGTCGTGAGCCAGTGTGAGAAGAGGAAAGTTGATCAGGCCTGCTTGAAAACTTCACGGAGTGGAATTGACAAATGGCAGCTTGTGCTTACAGCATTGAGGGAATCTACCATCCCCTTTGAGGGGGGAAGCAATAAGATATGGGGAGTTGTGAGTGCATTGGAGTAGCCAGACATGCCAGGGTGACTCATGTGAACCCAAGCTACTGGGTTGACTGGAAGACCGTGAAAGAGTGGGACTGGAGTCTGGCAGTACCTCAGGAAGAGCTGCTATATTGTTAGCAGTCCTGCCAGTGCTGTTCTGAATGCCATAGAATGTAATCCAAATGCACTCCTCACATTAGTTTAAGGCAGCATGGATGCAGGCCCTATCTGTGCTCTGGGTCACTGAATCATGTTGTGCTCAGTGGGATGGGACTGAATTGCGATAGCTTTTAGATCAGGCCCACTAGGATGGCCAGGTGCCCAATGCTGAGCTTGCTATTAAAGATGATTTGATTTTATATGGTGTCGTGTGATGCAGGCAGCTTTACTGCCTCCAAGTAACTCTATGAATCTTCAGCACTGGAAATTAAGCAGAGGCGTGACAGCAGCTCAATGAGTTGTTGTTACTGTGGTTGGCCTGGACCGAGACCCTCCTCTTCCAGATTCTTTAGAATGGAAGTCAGCATAAGATGCCCAGAAGAAAGGAGCTTCTCTCTTATAAACCCAGTGCTGATAGAACCCTCGTAAGTTCATCTGAAGAGCTGAGATGAAAGCAACTCCTCCTCGATGTGGAAATCAGGAGACCCTGCTACCCAAGCAGATTCTGGACCTCCTAGCACAGTGATGGCGAACCTTTTAGAGACCGAGTGCCCAAACTGTAACCCAAAACCCACTTATGTATCGCCGGGTGCTGGGCGGGCGTGGCCTGCTGGGTGTGGCTACGATGGTCATGGCAGATGGGTGGGCGTGGCCAGGGTGGGCGTGGCCAGCTCAATGTTGCTCCTGGGGAAGGACGCCTGTGGGGGCCGGGCAGGGTTGGGGGAGATCCAGGGCATCTCTGGCGGGTGGGGCGATGGGCAGGAAGCTCGTCCTGCGGGGTGAGGTGAGGCAGTGCGGGGATGCCATTGTCGCAGGGCAAGGCGAGGCAGGGGCCGGGGCGGCTGCTGCCTGACACCATCGGCCCCCGCACACAGAGGGCAGTGAGTGCATGGGTGCTGGCCACGTGGGACCTCAGCGAGTTAGCGGGTGGCTGGTTGAAGAGGGACAGTTGGCATCTCCGGGGCATGGCTCGTGTGCCCACAAAGAGGGCTCTGAGTGCCGCCAGTGGCACGCGTGCCATAGGTTCGCCACCACTGTCCTAGCAGAACCATTCCTAAGAGGCTCTGTGCACTTGTGGGATTCCCCTCCTTGTGGCAGGAATATATTGGCAGCAGTCCTTGCAGCATGTCACTCCCACCCTGTAAAAACAGGCATAAGTAAAAAGCCAGCCAGCTCTGGCCTGTTGGATTTCACTTTACAGGCATTCCCCCCCCCCCCCCCCAGCCTCCCATCCCTAGGAATGCTTCCCAAAGACCAGCAAACAAGGTCCTTTCTGTTCTTAGCAGCTGCATTACCACCACCCAAAAAGCAGGCAGATTGGCTGCTTCCTGTAAGTGTACATCAACAACACACCTTTGCCAGACTGAGCCGGAGATTCCTGTGGTCAGACACTCCCAGCTGTGCTTGGGGTCAAGCCCTCTAAGCTTGGACCAAGAATTTTGGGTGTCTCCGCTTAGTTGGTGCAGAGATCAAGATCCAGACATATCAATCTGATCTTGCTATTGCACAGCAGCAGACAAGATTGCTGCTCAAACTCTAGATCAACACAATCTGTCCTAGTCCCGAGTTGTGGGTCAAGACAGCGCATCAGAGGTCATTGGAGGTGGCATTTGGGAAGAGAGAGAGAGAGAGAGCAAAGTTCACTGGGGAGTGCCTGGCCTGCCACATTGACCTAGTCAGAGAGAGACTGGAAATGCTCTCTATGGGACATTCTGGCTGAGACTGGGGTCAGATCGCACACAGTAGGCCAAGGCAGCTCTCAGAGCTGGAATGTTCTGGCAAGCTGCCTTTTGCTGGCCAGCCAGACATCTCCATACCTGGAACAGCAACCGGTTGCGTCTCCATTTGAGCAGGGTGGAGTGCTTGCCTGTGATGTGGGCAGTATTCTGAAATAGGAGCGGATGGGTAGTTACTGCTTTTCCTGGCACTTCTAATAGCCTAATTCCCTGCTCTGCCAAGCAAGTGATACCTGAAACAAGCCCTGTCTATTTGATCCAACTAAGTATTCTCAAATCTGATACACCAGAGTGGCTAAATTAGGTTTCATTCCCATTTATAGTTTTTGGCAGTTTGCAGAGCCTCCCTGCATGAAAGGCCATCAGCGTTTGCATCAGAGTAGACTAGCCATCCAAGTAATTTCATATTTACTGAGAAACAATTGCAGTGAAGCACATTGAAGAATTGTATTTAATTCTTTTGTAAATGTGGCTTCAAGGCAAACATGCAGATCATTCTTCAAGTTGACATACCCAGGTCCTGTGCTTAGCTGGTCTCATGCCTTATTCCACACAGGATTTGTCTTTTCGGTCTGTTATTGGCCTCTTTGCCTGTACTCTTGTCATTTCTGTTAGGATTGCGCTGTTGTAAACCATGCCATAGAATTTGAGAACTATTTAAGTATCTCCAGAAACAGATTTAAGATTTGTCTCCTCCGTGTTGCTTTAAAATCTAAGTACCAAAAGTGTGTAGTGTTCAGATCTGAATTATGCAAAGAGGCTTCAGATTTAGCATAGACACCCAGCCCCCCACCCCATCAGCAGTTCTTTAAAGGAGACAGGCCCTTTCCTGGTTTTCCATAATCATCTCTATGTTCAAGAAAGAACATGAGTAAGTTGAGTTCAGAAGGCATTAAAAGCATCTGTGAACACTCATGTGCTCTTGGATGTTCCCCTTGTATCGGCTTATCAGATTCCCTGTCCCATCTACCTTTCAATTTTTTCTAGTTTCTCTTAATTTTAAAATGAGACAGAGAAAGCATGCAGAACATGCTTGGATCCTTTAAACTCATTAAAATAGTTCTGCTCTGGGACATGTGACCAAAAAGTGAGATTTTAAATGAAGATGGCAACACTCTCAAGCAAAATTGCCTCTCCACAGGGGGAAGAGGTTTTTCTGGATTTCTTTTTCTTCTGTTGCCCCTGGTTTGATCTGGGTCATTCTTGAACTCAATTTTTTTTTTTTTGCTTGCTTTATTTCCAGCACCAAATTACTTTGTTTGCTTTATTTCCAGCACCAAATTTGGTCCTGGTTTGTTCAGTTTTCAGATAATTATTGTGCTGAGGAGAGGCAGAAGAGTCCTGGGTCCCTCTGCATAATTTCTTAAAAATATTCCATTGGATTGGAAATAATAAAAATAAAATGGAGCTGGTTCTTGTCTTTTTTTTGTCCTCTGCTGCTGATAAAATCTTGTGTCCCAAAAACTTTTGCCAGCCACAGAAATTGAAGAGTATATTCAAACGCATGTCAGTGACCATTATACTGACCAATGGTTGATAAATTAAGACAGGTTCTGCCCATTTGTATTAATCAGCAACTCTGTTAACATAAATATTGCACAGATATACAGTATTATGTAGAGAAGGCATTCAACGACATCACTGTTGTGATTAGAGCAGTGGTTCTCAACCTTTTTAATGCCGTGACCCCCAACCGGTCGTAAGTCGAGGACTAAACCGGTCGTAAGTCGAGGACTACCCAACCGATCGTAAGTCGAGGACTTTCCCTGCCCGGGAGCGCCACGCATGCGTGGTTCCGACCCCTGCGCCGGCTGAGGCATAGCTGGCAAGCGGCAGAGACTGAGCAGGCCGACCACCAGCTGGCCCAGCCCAAGGGAGGTAAGGCACCCGCCGGAAAAGGGGGAAAAAATGGCAGACAGCCTTGCTTGGCGACCCCCGTGAAATGGTCGATCGACCCCAAATGGGGTCGCGACCCATAGGTTGAGAACCGCTGGGTTAGAGTATCAGTATGTGTGGGCACAGAAACAATCAGTCCACAGAACTCATGGGGGGAGGGGGAATTGGCAGGCTAAAAAGGAACAAGAGACGTTGAACTTTAGATCTAAAGCACCAGCCTCCAGCATCATCTTTATTTACAATAATTCCTCTGGGCCTCATAGACATTCTTTTAAAATAAAAGTGGTGGGTTACTGCAGCCCAGTGTTTTGTTCAAGGCTGCCTATTTGGCCAGAGAAAAGGCTAGCTAAAAGCTACTTATTTATTTCGCAATATTTGTAAATCACTCTAATCCTCCGACACTCTGGGAACTGTAGGAGTATCATGGGAGCTAGTGTAGTTAACAATCAGCAATTTATATAGAGTTGCTTTCTGGTAATGGGCTATTTGTGATTGCTCATGCTTGCTATAACAGCCACTTGGGGAAAAGTCAAGTCCACCCACTCTTCTCCCCCTCGTGGCAACCTGTGGTGTGAGTGCCTGTGATGCACTCACAAAACTCAAACCTGGCTCTGACTCAAGATAGGTTGGAGAACCCTGATATCAATTATGGGCTGGTCAGTTGGACATTCCTGGAAGGACTAGAGGAGCTTGCTGGCTCTGACTCTCCATCTCTCCTGATTGTTTAATACAATCCCTCTCAAAGGCCTTCCTCTGACTACGTACCCGTTCTCACAAAATTTAAGCCCAGTTTGATTCTTGTGGGTTGCTGGATCCTCTGCAAGGTTCAGTGGCACAGGCCTAAAACTGTGCCAGCAGCTGATTCATTTTTTTTCTGGGCACTGATCATTGGTAAAGCATGTTCAGATTTCACATTCTGAATATTCCCTCACTGCGGCACTCCTGAACTGGAGTTAGGAAGAGCAGAAATGTGTTAACACAAGAGTCAGTAATTTGGTTCAAAGCAAGAATACTTTTCAAAATGGCAAAATGTTTCTAGGTGTTTTCATATCAGAACTGCAGTAATCTAAGGAAACCTGGCCGTTGTTGATTGCAGAGTACAGTTATTGAATTTACTGCACATTTCAAGATAGAAACTTGGAAAATCTGATCCGGCCAATTCTGGCTTGGGCACCCTGCCCATTCTCCTCTGCAGTGATCCTATTGTGACTCAGGCACTACTTTATCAGGAAATAATATTTTAGCTAAATTCAGCCCTATTGGGATTTTGAAGAACATTTAATACTCAAAAGTAGTATTGAAGCAGTATCATAAATGGCTATGAAATAAATATCCTCTGGAATGATATGTTTAATTCTTTCTTCATTTCTTAAATCTGCAGTTTAATTCAGTTTAGTTGGAATGAGAGTTTGGATCTTTGCCATCTATTAAGGAATCATTGTAATCCGTTCCAGTGGAATTCAGTTCCCCCTGTTTGTTGCGTGATAAATTTCCATTTCTTGTTCATCTGTTGTATATATAATCCTCACTTGTCTTTTCATGGTTGCATTTCTC